TGAAGAAGTCTCTGGAGGAGAGACGAAACGTTTCATTAGAGAAGAAACCGTCCAGAAGACCTATACAATTTTTTTCTTTTTGAATTTTTACCTGGATTACTGAGATGCATCAGGACATTCTGGTACATTTAATTTATCCATTCATTAATGTACACCATCCTTAGTAAATAAACCAAAAATGTAAATTAAACCATTTTATTTGAAGTGCAAGGTGAACCACTCTTATTAACTTTTTAACTGATAATCCATTCATGGACACTAAAGTTTGTCTTTATTTTTCAAACACCTGAGGTCAACCTGACAGTCTACTGAGTGAGGTCACTTTGTTACACCTCCCAACACACTCACAAGTTAAAGTCATCAAACCTTTAAAATGAGAGTGTTTTAGTAATAGAGAACAACCTTGAGGAACCACCGGCCAGCGTTGAGCTGCTGCAGGTCCGTCCAGTTGAAATATGAGGCTTCGACCGTCTGCCTGTCTGGAAAAACCTCCTCCACATTTGTGGTCCTCCGCAGGTCTAAGTCGTGCATCAGGAACGGTACGCCATCAACACTGGTGATCAGAAGAGTAAACACACGGGAACATTTGAATAAAGTATAGACTATAAATTTTATATCTATTTAAGGAACTGTTGTTTTATAATCTATACAGGTAAAAACATTGTTAAGTACAGGGAGCTCAGTATCAAGGGTGGAGGAGTTGGAGGGGAGCAGGGAGGATGGGCATCCAAAAACAAATGTGTTGTCAGATTTGTAAAACTGATTAGGTTTGTCAAGTTTAGGGGGAGGGGCAGTGGAGAGCAAGATATTTCTGTTGGTTACGATGTTGAGAGTCCTCTCTGGATGGTGAGGTTGTCTCAATCTTAGCTCCAAACTCGTTTTGTACATCTCCTTTCCACTGCTGCTGGGAACCTTTTCCACATAATTGATCTTAAACTGTGAACCCGTTAATCCTGCTTTGCTTTGGTGTACAGTGCTTCAGATTCTCTTTCTGCACTCCTTTTCCTTTCTGACAGCAAGCAAAAAGGAAAGAAACACCTGCAAACTTTTCTTAACCTAACATCTGAACCAAGTACGTTTACTTACAATACATACATCGATGTGTCTTAAAGTGCAGACTCAAATCTTAAACACAGAACCTAACAAAATGCAGCTCTAATAAACAAGTTTAAGTCTAAGTTTCCATCAGCTCCTTGAAGTGCATCTCTGAGCTCTGAGTCTCAGCTCTTGTCAGGGTTTTCCCTACATGTAATTGATCGTGGRGCACCGCCATGGCTAAATAAAAGCCGCCACACTTTCGGAATGAAGTTTTACTTATTTATTTTTTTAAATCAATGTAAAACAGGGGTTGGCAAAATCATTGTTTAAGTTGTCTGAGACAACCTATTTTTGTTTCGGACAACCGGATCCCACCTCCCYGTTGTCTGGTGGAAAACCAAGAAAAAAAGACCTGGATTTAAGTTTTCCTCCGCGGGTGTTCGTAAAAATGAACGAGAGAAAAAAAACTTGTTAAAGCCGTCTAGGGATTAAACTGACGGTTCTTTCACCCAATAAAGAGAACCACAATCAAAGTTTCACCCAGTCAGAACAGAGCAGGGCGGGTCGTGCCGTCTGACAGACAGTGCTGCCTTTCTTCCTTTCTCTGTGGGTGGGGGGTCAGCTTCACTCAGCTCAGGTGAACACCTCCTAGGAAAGCCCTCAGCGTTTCCTGGATTAATTTTCCACTGAGGATTATGTTGTATTTTATATATATATTTCTAAAAGCACCTGGCAGCATTTCCACCGTGTTCATGAGCAAAACAAAACTGCGACAGATCACCTGACTGTTTTTAAAGTGAGGGCTGAGAGGCAGTTTGACCGCAGCCACAGCACCTGTCCACCTGCAGCGCAGCTCCAACCAGCCCAGGACTTAAGAGTCCACATGTCAACCCCTTCAGACGTTGACCTGTATAATGAGCATCGAATATTTGTAATTTGCACAAAAAAAAAAAATCTGTGTTAATCACATGCGGGTGGGGTGGAGGTGCAAGCGGACAGCAGCCGCAGAGAGTGTGTGTGTGTGTGTGTGTGTGTGTGGGGGGTCTTTTAAAGACGTGTCTACATTTGACTTTTATTTTTTCTAAAATCACAGAGTTCTCTGAGTCAGCTTCAGATGTTTGTAGTTAATCACAATATCTTCTAAATTTAACCAGGTGTTTTAATGCCTTTAAATTAGCCACACAATCATTTTACTGGAGAAACTTGTCAGTTTGGTAAAAAAAAACAACAGTAAAACTATTTTTTTTCTGTGCAGAAAACTTCCTCTGCTATAGTTTTCTCAAAAAAGTATATCAAAGCTCCTCAGTTGAAAACACTAAAATTATAGAAAAGATGTTTAAAAACCTCTTTCCTCATAAAGTCTTCAGTCCTAAGAACACTAAAATGTAACTTTTAATAAGGTCATGTACACAGTTTACTCCTATTTAAAAGAAAATGTTTGATCTGTAAGCAGAAAGCTTATGGATGTTGATATTTTTGGTCTCTATTTCAAAGAGGATGAGGAGGAGAACGAAMAAGTTCTCCTCAGGCAGCTCCTAAAACTGTCAACCTGCTGACTGAGAACATTTGTATARAGTAAACTTTGCATACAGAACAATATACTTATTAAATAAAATTTTAATTTCCATTTAACCCCCCACCCCCATGAGAGGTCACCACACCACCACGGTTAAAAAAAATCCTAGGGGAAACCCTGCCTGTTAAACAGGTGTTGTCAAACAATCTCTTGACTGTTGATACTGATCATAACTCTCAGGGCTTTATTACAATAAAGCCACTGTTTGGATGATATCTACTTTTTAAACACTAACTCTAGTCCTGACAGTAAAACAGCACAATCAATGTGAAGCAGAGGAAAATGATTCTGGTCTTTAATGCTTGAAATTTATTGCAAATAAAATATGGAACATAACGCTATTTTGATTGTGGTTTTTGGTTCATTTTAATCCCAGGACAGTCTCAAAATGCTTAAAAAGAAATCATTTAGATTATTTATGGGTCCAAACATGAAGAGCCAGGTTATCTGCAGAGATTAAATAACAATTTATTTGTTTGGCTTTAACGTAACTCTGTATTGATCGGTTGTTTGTGTACCTTAGAGCTACGTCAGCTTCCAGTCCAGTAACGTTCATCTGCAAAGCTCGCTGGAAAGACCAGAGTGTGTTCTCTGGAGCAAGCTGGAAACACACAGACATGGTGAACAGGACAAACAGTGATTGCAAGTGGTTTAGTGGAGGACTTTAAGTTAAACAATGACTCATTTAAAAACTAATTTAAAAAGTATGGCTTGTCTTACAAAGTCAGACCATGTTAATATTTTATCAAACATGTGACAGAGATTACATTGTGTGAGCACACAGGGATTTGTGGATGAGAAAGCCCAGTGCTGTGGACTGCTCTTTAACTTAGTTCAGTGCTGAGATCAATACTAAAACATCACTTACTAGAACAACAGCTTCCTTTGAGACCATGAGAGTAAAGCTACTGATGGGGAAACATGGGAAAGGTATGCTGCAATAATCAATAAAAAGTGATTCTGGGAAACTGAGTCCCGTCAGACCTCCCTACAGCCGTTCTGAGACACTCCTAATTTTAGATTCCACTGAAAGGATCGATCCTGTTGTAGAAACACCAGAGGCTGGGTGTGTTCCTAAATCAGTTTTAAAGAACTGGCTTTGTTTTTCTTCTGATGGGTTGCGTAACTCATCATTAATCTATGATATATTATATAGGAAAATAAAAAAAGTGCCTAGTATGCAAAAACAAACAAACAAACAAACAAAAAAAACACATTTTTAGGGAAACACTTCTAGAAATATCAGCAATAATATTTAATCTGGTTTTCACATTTTTACTGTAAATCCTTCTTTTTTCACATTTAAATCATTCAGCTGGGGTCTATATCAAGTGGAACTGCAATGATTTGTTCTGAATTCCTCCTTTTTGTAACTTCACAAGCCTCTTTCACCCCTTTTCTGAGTGAGGATAACTGATTTTAAAAAAAGGGGACGTGCAAAATCCACTTGTTTAGCCATTACATGCATTTTGTCGTGTACTTGGAGTCTCTAGGAGTGCAGAAAAGTTGAATTTAGTTTCTACCAGTACTGTGTATATATTTTTATATTCTCTTAAAAGGTCCTATTTTTCAACCTGTTCAGTATTCTCAGTATTTGTGAAAGAACTGCCAAATAAGGTCCGGACAAAGCAACTTCAGTTTGGTTGTTTCCTCTGGCTCTGGGTCAGACTCTGGCTCCAACGTGTTAGGCTGGATAGACAAGTCTTCTGTTGTTGACATCTTTTAATTTATTTGTAAATAAAAGGTTTCTGTGCTGCTATATAGTCATAAACCCCTCTATCAAGCTAGACTGTTTTAGAAGGTGGAGGGCAGGGTGTGAAGCGCCTTGTTTGGATTCAAAGAGACGAAACGAGTTGGTCTGAAACATCTCTGTGGAAAAGTTACTGGGAGGTCTAAGGCCTTGTCTACTTTACACAACATTGTTTTTAAATGAAACTGCAGCATTTCTGCAGTGTTTTGCCTGTTTGTGTACAGAAAAACTGCATTCATTTTCTCTGAACTCATTTTTTTTTTTTAAATACTGGTATCTCAGAGTGGAAGTTTTTGGAAACACCCTGCATGAGTGTGAAATCAAGCATGTGCTTTATGAATGGCTGCAATCAATAGTTTTCATGCTCTTGTGTGAGTAGATGAACAGTTAACAGAGTGCCATTTGTGTTACTCATCATTTTCTACATGTAGGAGCGACACAACCATATCTTGGTCCAAAGGACGATGCATGTATTCACTATTTTGGGTGTGACTGTTTTTATGCTACAGACTGAATTGTTTAATGTCGACATGTTAGCATGTTGCTGAAATACTAGCACCAGCTAGTGACTGGGCATGGTAACTCCTGTAACCTCAACAAGCACAGCATTATCATAGAAATGGATAAATCAGACAGCTTAGTGTGCAATGGTGTTAAAAACGTTCAAGTCTTTCAGGTTTGTTTATCATTCCAACATTCAGTCAGATAAATGTGCTGACTCACCATGGGGGCCCCCTGGTGGCCAAAAACCTCTGGTCGTGGTTTAAGGGTGTCCGGGTCCATGATGCAGGGAGAGGAGAGATAAAGCGGTACCACATAGAGTCCTAATAATACACTGAGATACAGCAGCACAACCACCACCTGGAACACTGGCAGAAAGCACAAAAACAATAGTTAGTCGACGTTATAAACACAATAGGCTCCACTCTGACTCTACATAACAGATACAGAACAACTAGAGTTGTGTAAAATAATCTGCAAACATGTGATGTAAACAAACAAAACAATGCAACTATTYTCATTAACTGATCCTTCATCTCAATGACAAATTCATTTCTGGGATAAATTTTTTGTGGCATCACTAACCTAGATAACTGAAACCAGTCATACGCAGTATCTGTGTACAAAATAATCATGAAGCTTCAGTAAACAGCTCGTTAGCTTGTTATAAAATAGTCAGCCTTGAAACATCCGWGGATAAAACTCTGCCTCTCGGAGCACTCAGAGCTCATTTAGCTATTTTTAATGAAATCTGTTCAGCTACACACACACACACACAAGCTAAAATCATTTCCATCAGTGGTCAAAGAAGAGAACCCTCTGAATCCACCTCTGTGTGAGCGAGCACTGATGGCTGCGAGTGTGGGCATCTGCACGCCAACACAAAAGAATGCATTTGTTTCAAGGTCAGCTTCAGGGTGGGGTCGAGTAGCCAACTCTTATTACACACAGGAGACTCTGAGCCATCATCCACCGACACACACCTACACACACAGAACCTCTCACATCTTTGATTTTTTTTTGTGCTAATCTGCATTACAGTGATGTTAAATGGGGGAGTGTTATGGCAAAGACCTTTCTAAATCATAAAATCTCACCAAAATCAGATCCTGAACAGTAAACAATGGTCAAGCCTCCCTTACACTGGTTTTGAATTTCTCCCACAGAGTCAAGTACCAACTGTGTGTCCAGCCTGAAGACAGATCACTGAAAAATATTAAATATATTTTCAGGTGAAAGGGATACTTCTGAAGTGACCATGTTCACTCCTTATTTCAATCAGTCCGTGTTGGACGGTCAACTGTTTACCAGATACTGTTTCATCTTTTAGCGTTATTTCTATTCTATTACCACTACTACTATTGCTATTGGTGCATAGCAAGATTTTTATTTTTATTTTTTTGTGAACTGATGCTGCTGCTGTTACACCTGAATTTCCCCTCTGTGGGACAGTAAAGGCTGTCTATTCTATTCT